AGCCAGCGACTATGCTTCAGGAACATTTCTAAGTGCTTATGTGCAGTAATTTACTCCTCATAACAACCCCATTGGACAGATGGTAATATCGAGGCCCAGGGAGGTTAAGTTCCTTCCTGAGGAACTTCCAAGGGTCAGGGTTGGCATTAGAGCCCTTGATTTTGCCCACTGCCCTGTTCTGGCCTCAGCCTTCCTCCCCCACTCTTGGCCACTGCTGGAGGAGGAGTTCCCACTGGGCTCCATCATAACTAGCTTCTAAGTACAGACTGAATCTCTGAGGTCAAGTCAACATTCTGGATACCCAGAACTGGTCAGTCCTGTCCTGGTAGGTATGGCTGTGGAGAGGGGCAGGCAGCAGTCAAGGAAGGCTTTCAGGAAGAGGGTGCTTAGATAAGTAAGACTGGAGAGGCTGGCAGGGCCTGAGAAAGGGGTTGCAAGGGGGAGGGGAGGACAGCATGGAAGCCTCCCCTGACTGTCACTGACCACAAGCCTTGACTCTTGCTTCTCCCCACTAGGCACACAGTGAACTATATAGTTGGTGATCAGGGGCAGGTACCTCCTTGGTTGCAGTGTTGAACTTCTACTCATCTGTCAAAGCCCCAGGGCTCCAATGCCTACTCATCTGGAAAGCCATCTCCCCACTACTGGCCTTTCCCAGCCTGGGGTCTCTCCTACTACTCAAACCCTGACCACATAGGACTGGGAGTGTCTGTGTCCAGCTCTGTGTCCTTCACCCTCAACTGGGTGACCCTTGAGGGCAGGGCCCTAGGTTGGGATTTCTCTGGTGCCCAGCATCGCCCAGCCCAGCCCGGACACAGAATAACTACTGGTTGAATATGTCTTGAAGGAAATAAGGGAGTAAATGAGAGTCAAATATGTGAGTGACAAATACAAACCTCAGACACTTCCTTCCAGGGCTCCCACCTCCCTCCGGATAAAAGCCCAGGTCCTCCCTGTGGCCCACAAGGTCCTGCATGACCTGCCCCATCCCCTCCCTGACTCTCCCCCTCGCTCACTCTGCTCCAGCCACACAGGCCTCCTCGCTGTTCCTCCAACAGGCAGGCTCCGTCCTGCCCCAGGACCTTTGCACAGGCTGTTCCCATCTCAGCCTGCAGTAAGTATTCTTGATCATGACTCTTTGCGTGGTCGGCTCATTCCTCCTTCAGATCTCCATTCAAATGCCACCTCCACAGAGAGACCTCCCTTGACCTTGATCCCTAAAATAGCCGGCCAGTCTCGAGCTCTCTTCCTCTTCTGGTCCCTCCCTGGCACTTCCCACGATCGGATGCACTGTGCATTTACATATTTATCTTTATGATGCGGCTCCTTTTCGTGCTTTTTGTCCCGGGTCACCCGGGGCGCCTCCATCCGCCTAGCTCGCAGTAGGCACTTAATACAGGTCGACGTAAACTAAGGGGCGTCTGCGGGTGGGGGCTAGGGGCCCGCGGGTCCACCCGCCGCGCCCCGCCCTCGTGGGGCCTCCAGTCTGCGAGCTGGGCGTGCCCGGGCAGGCTGGGCGCGGGCGCGGGCGCGGCGAGAGCGGGCGGCCGGGCCGGTTGGGCGAGTGCGGAGGGCGCGCGGGGCCCGGGCCGGGTCCGCGGGCCCGGGCCGGGTCCGAGTGTCCGGCGGGGGCCATGGAGGGGCTGCGGCGGGGCCTGTCGCGCTGGAAGCGCTACCACATCCAGGTGCACCTAGCGGACGAGGCGCTGCTGCTGCCGCTCACGGTGCGGCCGCGGGACACGCTCAGCGACCTGCGCGCCCAGCTCGTGGGCAAGGGCGTGAGCTCCTGGAAGCGCACCTTCTACTACAACGCGCGGCGGCTGGACGACCACCAGACAGTGCGCGACGTGCGCCTGCAGGACGGCTCGGTGCTGCTGCTCGTCAGCGACCCCAGGTGGCCGGGGGAGGGGACTGGGGGGCGACCGGGGATCGGGGGCCTGGGGTGGGGGGGATAGGGGGCCCTGGCTGGGGTCCCCGGTGAGGGGTGAGTCAGGGTTGGGGGGAGACGGCGGGGCACCAGGAGGGTCTGGCTGGCGTCCCCGGTGGGGTGGGAAGTGGGTCAGGGCCGTGGGGGAGGCCAGGAGGGCCTAGCTGGGGTCAGGGTGGAGTGCGTGGGATGGTTGCGGAAAGGTGGACTGGGGATCCTTCTCGTCCTTGTGGACTCCTTGGAGAGAGCCCAGCACTGAGAAAGGCCAGGAGCCTGGCTCGATTCCCCCTGCAGGCTTTCTTCTTTTCTCTCGCTCTGTCTGCCTCTCTCCAGCCTCGCCGGTCTTTCTCACGATCTCTCTTTGTCTCCTGTCTCTCCCTCTCTCTGTGACACTGTCCCTGTTTATTTCCTTTCCTTCTTTCTGTCTCTGTCTCTCTATATCTCTCTGTCTCTCTGCGTCTCTGCCCATTTCTGTCTCTGCTGTTTTTCTCTGTGTGTGTGTCTCTCTTCCTTTTCTGTTCATCCATCTCCCCCACTACCTCTGCCTTCCCCACAATCCCATCCTGACCCTTGCTGTCCACACTCTGACCTGGCCGCCTGGGGTATCCAAAGAGGTCCCCTGGCCAAGGTGACCCGAGAGGAGTGGGTCTCCCAACCCAAGGAGGGGTCTGCGGAGAAGGGCAGCTGGGCTGTGGGAACAGCACATGTAGAGCCCTGGGGCAGCTTTGGGAAATGGTGGAGGCTGGTGCTTGGCGAGATTGGCAGTGGATGGAGGCGCTGGGCGGGGGAGGGACTGGAGCTGTCTGTGTAACACTGGAGTTTATGGGGGTCATGCTCGCTGGGGCCCTAGAGGCTTGGTCCACCAAGTCTGGGTGACATTTTGAGAGTAGGAGCCTTAGATGCCAGTCCTGGAGGCTCAAGATGTGGTGGGAGGGCCTGCCTCTCCAGGCCCTCTCGAGGGAGGGTCTCACTTGGGGCTGGGAGAGGGTGTTCCTGGCAGTGACCAAACAAAGCCTAGCAGCTGGACGATCCACAGACGTCTACACAGTCAATATTCAATATACAATACGCATTTATTGGGTGCCTACTGTGTGCCGGGTCATGTGCTGGGCGGCACTGGAACCCAGCAGGGACCCAGACAGACCAGGCCTGCCCTCACGGAGCCCACAGTCAGTCCAGTGGAAGAGACAGACAAGGAACCAAATAAACATGTTTGAATGTCAGGTTGTAATAAGTGCTATGGAAAGATGCAGGAAGGTAGAGAGTGATGGAGGTGTTGCTACCCTATCAACAGTGGCCAGGGGAGGTCTGTCGGAGAAGATGACATTTCACAGTACAATGTGAAGGAGCTGATTAAACAAAGAGAACAAGAGTGGGCAGGAGGGTATTCCAGGAAGAGGAAACAAAATGTGCAAAGGCCCTGGGGCAGAACCATGCCTAGTGTGTTGGAGGAACAGTGAGGAGGCCTGTGTTTCTGGACCAGAGTGAGTGAGGGGGAGAGAGGGAGGAGGGGAGGGCAGGGAGGGGACAGGGAAGGTCGTGCAGGGCCTTGTGGGCCATGGGGAAGACTTGGGCTTTTACCCTCAGGGAGGTGAGAGCCCTGGAGGGCTGTGGGCAGAGGAGGGGCAGGACCTGACTCAGGTGCTCACAGGTGCCCCTGGCTGATACAGGGAAGACAGACTGTGGAGGGGGCGGGGAGGGCTTGGGGTGGGGATCGGGGGACCAGGGTGGAGGTCTAGTGATGGTAAGTGATGGTGGGGGCTGAACTAGGATAGAGTCAGCTCACTGTTCCTCCTACTCTCTAGGCATGGTCCTCAGGGCCTTTGCACTGCTGTTCCTTCCTCCTCCAATGCTTTCCACTTCCCTTCCTCAGCTCCTTCAGGCTTTTGTTCAGATCCTACCTCCTCAGTGTAATCTTCCCTGACCACCTGTTTAAAATGGCATCCCACCAACACCATACCCTAACCCTGCTTTACCTTTCTCTATACTTCCTTGATTATTTTTACTAATATTTTACTAATTTTTTTTTTTTGCCCCATCTCCCCCACTAGACCGTAAGCTCTGTGACGGCATTGTTGTCCATCCTATTCACTGCTGTTTCCCCAGTTCAGTGCCTGGCACATAGTAGGTGCTCAATAAATGTTAGTTGAATGTATGATCTCTGGAGGTGAAGAAGGGGATGCTCAGAACATTTTCCTGGAGCTCTAGTGTTTCCTGGAAGCAAGAGAGAGGGTCTCGTGGGTGGAGGCGAGTCTGGGCAGACGCAGCAATATGCATTGGCTGGACACCGAGCAGACCAGGAGGCTTTAAGTGCCAAGGTGAGGGCTGCACAGGCCTGCAAGCTGTATCTTTCTGTCCCCGTCCTGCAGGTAATCTGTGTTGGAGGATGCGGAGCCATGACCGAGAGGACCAGAGGTGCTGGCTGAAGAAGCAGGCTGGGGGTGGCGGGGGACATCTCCCGGGAGCCTTGACCTCACTCTGGGTAAGTCACTCCAGTATTTGGGACACAGAAGGGACCTTAGAGATTGTGGAGACCACAGATGGGTAAACTGAGGCTCAGAGAGGAGAAGAGAGTCATCTCTGATGACCATCACCCTTCTCCACACCCATATGCTTCTGGCCCCTGGGGCAGGGTCACTGGCCTTAGCTTCTCACCTTTGAACTAACACATGGGCCTGAGTAATGCTGCCCTGAATTGCTGTGTGCCCTTGGGCAAATTGCTCCTCCTCTCTGGGCTCTGTTACCCCTCTTCCTTAACAATCAAAGAGTGGGCTTTGGTTGGCAGGTTTGGTTTAATTGCACTCTTTGCCTGCAATTTCTGCGACTGCCACCAGGTGGCTTCAAGTGCCAAGCTCCCCACAGGCTAAGGGCTATCCCTGCCCCTCCTGGAGGGCACCAGGGCCATCTCAAAGGAGGAGCTGGCTGCAGGTGTTTCTGTCCATGGGGCTGTTAGGGAAAAGGGAAGAAGGAAAAGTGGCCAGAGAGCTGGTGTTTCACCCTGCAAGGGGGCCTGGATTGAAATTGTCTTATCCCCTCCCTCCTGCTGTTCCAAGGTTCCGGGCTTCCAGCATAGATGGTGAAACACTGGCCTGCCCAGCTGCTGCCCACTGCCTGGGACATTCCTGATGGAGCCCCAGTCCCTGACACTGACCTAGGATGTTGCTACTCTGGGCCAGCCAGCCTTCCAGCTGTGCTGTGTGATCCTGAGGAGGTGGCTCCTGCCTTGGGGCTTCAAGTGCCCAGTCTGCAGTGGGAACCACGTGCCATCTTGGGAGGCAGCTGGAGGAGGTCACATGAAAAAAAGCACAGAGGGGAGAGGAGCTTGGGGGTAGCATCACCCCCACCTGCCTGGTACATTCTCTCTGCCACGCCTCTACCCAAGCTGTGCCCCCAGCCTGAAGCACCTTTCACACCCCTCTCTGCAGCTCCAGTCCACCCAGCATTCCAGCCTCCTCCAGGAAGTCTTCTCAGACTCCCTCCTCCCCAGCCAGTGAGCACCTTGTCCTCTTTTGGGCCTCCTCAAGCCTCCTCTACTGTGAACAGCTTTGGCTGGGGGCAGGGGGGGTGTGGCCAGACACTCATGAAATCTCAAATGACTAAAGGTGGAGACTGGGGGGCCCCAGCCCTCTCCCAGTGCTCCAGTGTCACACTGCACTCCTCCCCCAAACCCAGACCCCTCCCCACGTTGCACCCGTGTCCACCCCCGTGGCGGCGTCCTTCGCGTTCAGTCCCACTGCTTTGCCTCCTGCATGGGGTCTCCTGGTTGTGTCTGAAGGGCTCTGGTTAAGTGGGCAGGGATTTGGGGGGGGGGCGGTGGCTGTGCCTGGCAGAGCACTGAGACATTGACGGTAACCATGGGGGTACTCCGGGCTATTCCAGGCGGTGTGTTGTAGGAATTCTGGGTATGAGACCCTCTGAGTAGGGAATTCCATGGCAGTCCAGAGGTTAGGACCCTGCACTTCCACTGCTGGGGTTCGATCCCTGGTCGGGGAACTAAGATTCCGTGTGGCGCAGCCAAAAAAAAAAAAGTAGAACGTTGGGACTCAGTTGCATCTCTGATCTGCGGCCATGAGGCGTCGGGTCCACCGTGCAGACCCCCTTGGGTTGTGGGGATGCTGGCATGCGGGCCCTCGAGGGCCGCGTTCACGCTCTGGGTGCTGGCATCACAGGGTAGAGGCTCGGGAGCCTGGGAAGACATAATGTTTTAATTAAGAGTCGTGTTGGCCGCAGGGCCCAGAGTAGGGACAGGTGGATAATAAATTGTGGCCGTGGGGAGAGTAGTGCTCAGATGTGCGTTTGTCCATCAGGGGATGGGGACGGCCCCAGGCCTACGGGGCTTTTCTCACTTCCCCTTGGAGGAGCCTCTCCGGGGCTGGCATCACTCCTCCTGGGGCCAGGCAGCCCAGGCCCCTACTCCTGCCTGGTTTTGGCCTCGGTGGGTCACGCAAACACTGGGGGACCTGCCCCCCAGGGCCCAGCAGGAAAGTGGGGCTTTTAATAGCCACCCCAGCTCCATTCCTCAGCTCCCACTACATGCCAGGGTCTGTGCCACATCCTTGTCTGGCCTCCACTTACTCTAGTCTGTGAAGTGTGAGGCTCGGTGGTGGTGGTGATGATTATGGCCCATTTTACAGATGGGGCATCCAAAGTCACCCTGCCCCCTCTAGTCTGCTGCCCTGGCAACCCTAGAACTGAGGGGTCCCCAGCCCATGAGCAGGTCCCTGATAGAGGAAGGGGGAGGGTTTCCCACATCTTGGCTGAGGTGAGGGTGGGAGAAAGCATTTTCAGGCCTTTCTGACATTTAACAAACAGTATGCAAATCGCATGCAGATCGCATGCAAATCATCACCCATTTCTTAAGCCTCAACAGCTTTGGTGTGTTCTGAAATAATAATGTTGGACTTGTCCCTTGGTATTGGCTTGGAGGAGGGGTGCAAAGTTTTTCCCTTCCTCCCTTCCTTCCCCTTCCCTTCTGTTTTCTTTCCTTCCTCCCTCCCTTTCTTCCCTCCTCCCTTCCTTTCTTCCTGTTATCTCTTTGCTCCCTTCACATTGTTTTTTGGAGGCTTCCCAGTCCCAAGATGAATACAAACAGAAAAAGTGGCTTCCAGCGTTCCCATTTTCCAGATGGGGAAACTGAGGCACTGAGAGGCACAAGCCTGGACTGAGATACCAGAGACACATTGTGGAAGGCATCCGCCACCAAGTGTCATCATGGACCAAAGTGGACAGTACCTGTGACCCAAGGAGGAGAGATGACAGTGGCTGGAGCAGGCCTAACAGGGCTTGGAGGAGCCAAGGGGAACTGTCCTTGGGTTTCTTGGCCTAGAGTGGCAGGCTGCCAGGCTTGGATCTGGAGAAATCTGACACTGAGTGATCTTACTCCTCAAGTCCTTCTTTGTCTTGCTACTCCATCATCATGTTCTTTGAATTTGGGCCACAGCCTCTGCTCAGTTTGCATGCCCTACCTTTTCTGTTTGCAAACTCCTATTCATCCTTCCAAGCCCCAGCTCCAGTGCCCCCTTCTTCAATGCAGTCATTTTTGATCCTCCAGAAGAGCTTCCACTTCCCTCTGGGCTTCTGTTGCCCCAGATCTCTCTCTCTCTCTCTCTCTCTCTCTCTCTCTCTCTCTGGTCCAACTCTGACCCTTTTGGAGACAGCAGCATTACTGGACACTCTGGCTTGTTTCCAGCACTTGTCTGATTATCACACACCTCCAGACTTTTGTATTCCCTGCCCAGAATGTCCTTTTGGGTCTTTTTCACCTGGAATAGTCCTACATTTTCAAGGTCCTGGCACTAATACCCCACCTCCATGTGGGCTTGACAGCTCTCTCCCAGTCGGCCTCTGGGTCCTGCAGCCTCCATCACTTCATCCCTGACCCAGAGAACGGGGAGGTCTGTGTGTCCTCCCAGTCTTAGGAGTTGCCTCTGGGGCCCCAGGATCACCTAGGCTGGGATTACAGGGTGATCCTGTAGTACAGTACAAATTCGGTACAGAGGGACTGAATTTGAGTAGGTACGGAATAAAAGACTAAGTGTTTGGAAACAACGCCAAGTTCAAACTCCCTCACTTAGCCTTAGGCTTCACTCTCCGTCGACAGTTCAGTCCTAAGCACATCCTTCGCCCTTCCCTCTCGTTCACCTCCAGAACTCTGCACAAGCCATTCCCTCTGCCAGGAATGCTTTTCCCTTGACTCCTATTCTGGGTGACCCCAAGCCAGGCCCCTCCCATCTCTGCGCTGTGAAAATGGGGAAAGTCCGGTCCCCCCAGGGCCTCTCAGGCTCCTGGCTCCACCCCAGGAGCAAGTCCGGGCTGCAAGGAGTTTCGGGTGAGACCTGGCAGCCACCATCTCTCCCTGGGGCCCGTGGCGTCCCGGGGAGGGGCCACCTCCTGCCTTGGCTGCCCACTCGCTTTGTGCTCCCAGAAGTTTGAGGGGAATTTTCCTGAGTGGCAAGTAAATCCAGGTGGTTCCCAGAGGAGGCATCTGTGGCTCAGCCAGAAACTGCCGGCACCTGGACTTTCTGCTTTAGTTCAGTTGTGCCTCTCTCTCTCTCTCTCTCTCTCTCTCTCTCTCTCTCTCTTTCTCTCTCTCTCTCTCTCTCTTTCTCTCTCTGTGTGACTCCAGGCCAGATTCTGGCATTCTCTAAATGCCATTAGTTCAATGGGCATTTATCAAGTGAGCTCTGTGTGCCCGGCCCTGTGCTGGCTGCTGGAGATACCAAGACAGACTTTGCTTCGGCTGCTGTAGACAGTGGGGCAGGTTGTTCACTGCACAAAAACATCCAGCTGGGGTGAGAGGGCCTCAGGAAGGGAAATCTTTTCATAATTCACAGAGTCTCCTATACAGGTTAGTGGTGGTCCTGACCCTGATGCCTCCCCCACCCCCCGTGTCTCCATCTGTCTCTGTGTCTCATTCAATCTCTTCTCTATGTATCTGCCCCCATTTGTCACTCTTTCTCTCTGTGTCTCTTGATCTTTGCTCTCCAGTCTCTCTATCTGAGCCTCTCTGTCTGTCGCCATCTCTGTCTCTGTCTCCTTCCATGTCTCTGGCAGTTTATTTCTGTCTCTCTCTCTCCATACCCCTGTATCTGTCTCTCATATCCCCTCTCAAAAGGGACATCCTTTCCCCCTGATGCTCTGAGCATGACCTCTGGGTGTTTCCAAAAGTTGCTGGGTCCATGCATTCTGTAATCACTGATGAAGCACCTCCAATTTTCAGGGCACTGAGGACAGCGTGGTGACTAGGACACCCAGCTGTTGGCCGTCATGGGGCTTGAGGTCCAGCAGAAGAGACAGAAGCTGCAGGGTGGGGGGCTGCTCCTAGTATCCTGGAAACCCCTCCTCTGGGCTCGGCCCACACTCTTCTGAATGACCTTGGGTGGTCCTTGTCCCTCTCTGGGCCTCAGTTTCCGCACCTAACCAAGGAGGGAGGTGTTTAAGGTGGCTGGGCCAGAAGCTGCTTGCAAGGCCTAGGCTGTTTGTTGGCAGAGAAATCCTGGCTCATCCCCACACCCAAATGGGTTTGAAAGAATCCTCCGAGGGGAAAACATTTGTAAGAAAAAAGAAAACAAAAAATCAGAGTCAGGCTTCCCTGGTGGCGCAGTGGTTAAGAATCCGCCTGCCAGTTCAGGGCACACAGGTTCGAGCCCTGGTGCGGGAAGATCCCACAGGCTGCGGAGCAACTAAGCCCGTGCGCCACAACTACTGAGCCTGCGCTCTGGAGCCTACGTGCCACAACTACTGAAGCCTGCGCGCCTAGAGCCCATGCTCCGCAACAAGAGAAGCCACTGCAATGGGGCCCGCACACCACAACGAAGAGTAGCCCCCGCTCGCCGCAATTAGAGGAAAGCCCATGTGCAGCAACGAAGATCCAATGCAGCCAAAAAAAAAAAAAAAAAATTGGAGTCGCCTGCCCAGGCTGCTGTCTGACTCACCTTGGGTGGAAGCGGCCTCACTGCCATCCCCCAGGTCATCAGAGAAACTTCCTGCCTCTTCCCCTGATGGCCCCTGGCTATCCACTGAAGGCTGCTGCCCTCACCATGATGGCTCTAGGCCTGGCACTGACCTCACACTTGTGCTCTGAGCTCCAGACCCACTTAACCCCTTGCCGGGCCCCAAGTGGGAGAAACTCTTTCCAGCCATAGGGCCTTTGCATGTGCTGTGTCTACATTTGGAGGACCCTCTCCCCACCCCTTATCTTTCATCCTCCGATTTGCAGGTTCAATGTCACTTCCTTGGGGAGGCTCTAAACAACCACGTTCCCTCTTTTTTTTTTTTTTTCGTTCCCTCCGTCTTGCACTCACACAGTATCCTGTTCTGTTCCTTTGTAGCATTAATTATTTATATTATTATTCATTCAATGTATTATTTTCCCCACTAGCCTCTGGGCACCGTGAAGGCTGGGGTGAGGTCTGGTCTGATCACTGATAGATCACACAGCATTTAATAACCCAGAGTAAGGGAGTGGGAGCCAGGGACTCCCTCCCTTCCCAGACTCCCTCAGGGTCCCCCGCCCGAGTTTCTGTCACCACTGTGTCCAGCTCCAGGTGGCCACGGGGCACAGAGCCTCGGAATTGGGATTCCAGGCACTCTGGCTCCTGCCGCTTTGATAAATGGGGGAAATTCAGAATTAATTATTGACTGCTGCGCTGAGCTGGCCTGATCTGGACAGATAAAGAGTGTCCTCACTGCCACGTCTGCCCAGCACTTCTCAGGAGTTTATTAGAGGTTGGGAGGCAGCTGGCTGAGGGGAGAAGCCCAGAAGGCACTGGAGCCAGATGGAGCTGAGTTCAAAGCCTGGCTCTGCTGGGCCACTTTGGAAGGCCACAGCCTTCCATGGATCTCATTGCCCTCGGGGGCAGGTCGCGCAGGACCTTGTGGGCAGAGGGGAGGACTTGGGCTTTTACCGAGAGGGAGGTGGGAGCCCTGGAGGGCTGTGGGCAGAGGAGGGGCGGGGCCTGAGTCAGGCGCTCACGGGCGCTCTCTGGTGGCCGCTTCTTGGAGGGCAGGCTGTCGGGGGTGAGTTTGGGAGCCAGGGGACCAAGGGTGGCGGCAACTGCGCTGGTCCAGGTGAGTGATGATGGGGGAAGAGAGTTCCAGGCAGAGGGAACATCCAGTGCAAAGGCCCTGAGGCAGGGTCGTGCCTGGCGTGTTGGAGGAACAGTGAGGAGGCCC